TAGACTTTTCACTTATACATTTTACAACACCTCTATCCCTCCCCCCTTTTTGGGAACCACCTTGATAAACTCTGTCCTTGGATTCATGTTTCCTTTCCTCTGTTACCCCGCCAAGACTTTTTCCTGGCCGTTGGCAGGGCAGTAAGCAATCATCCGAGTCCGATGGGGTCGCAGTTCGCTTTTAGCGTCCTACCCTCACCTGCATTGGGATTTCTTTAGTACCATCCTGATGGCACCTTCCACCTTGCTACATGCACCATCATACCATTCGACACATAGACACATGCTTCCATCTGCTGCCTCACCATGATGCCTCAAACGATCCCAAAAACTGCGCCCTGGATCCCTCCAACGGATGGACGATTCGACTCGTCTAACAAACTTCCAGTGCCACTTCACTAAAGACGCATTAGTGGGCAAACTTCGTCAAATACTTTATTTATTTGTCCAATGGACGGTGATGCTCCTTGCTGTTTTGGCAATCTCCAAAGATTCTCCTGGCTTTTTCTACCTCATCACTCCAGATGACCGTTGTCGAGACAGGTTTACATAAAGGATGGTCTCGTACCCTCACCCTCCCTACGACCACTTCCATTGTTGCTGTTGCGGTAGTTGGAGATTCCCACGACGCTTACCACACTGCGCCGTATGGTGGTCATACGACCACACACAGTCGACCGTACGTCGTTACCCCGCCATATGTTTTACAAATACTTTGAGTTCGAAATGCTTGCAAACATAACATAAAATGGTAGGGATGGCGTAGGTCAAGTTTGACAGAATATGTTCCCCTCCAACATTCCAGCTAACGGTCCAGCGGCACCACCGGACCAGAGAGGGCCATATGGAAACGTACTATTAATTACGTAGTTCATCTTTATCAGTAAAAAAATCAGTCGCCTCAAAAGGACATTCCTTGATTTTTAACCATGTGTAATGTCGAGATACATCATGAAGGACGTACTGATTACAGCGAATTGACGGCTATAATGGTATCTTGATACTTATCAACCACGCTTCGTAGACATTTGCTGACGTTAATTTTAACGAAGATCCGTGTCGTCCCATTAAGTGTACACCACATTATCTTCATTTGCGATTTACTTAGTTATCATGGATAATCGCCGGGAGTAAACAAATCCACGTAGCTCCCGTGACAGCCTCCCTAACTATGGTGCAAATGTAGAGAATCCGTGAGAATGATGTACATAGCCTATGTTAGGTCCTTAATTCCCAAACCTCGTATTATAAACTGTGTGTTGGTTACCGCCTCCACTACATCACTTTTAGGCTATTCCACGCCTGAACTACTATTTGACTCGAAGAAATACTTTCTAACATCCCCCTGTGACCTCATTGAGTCTTCAACTTCACAATTGTGACCTCCTGTGTCTGTGTCATTCTCGGGAACTATCTTGTCTTTGTTCACCTTGTCTGTTTGTCAGTTTTTTATATGTCGTTATCATGTCTCCCCTGACCCTCCTGTCCTCCAGTGTCGTCAGGACGATTTCCCTTAACCATTTCTTTGTAGGACAATTCCCTTAGCTTTGGAACTAGTCTTTTACAAACCTTTGCTCATTTTCTAGTTTCTTGACGTGCTTGACCAGGTGTGGATTCCAATACTTAGTGCAGTGTACTCAAGTTTGGGACCTAGACGTAATGGTGTACAGTCTTGAAGGATTCTTACTGAGGTATCGGAACGCAATCCTTAGGTTTGCAGGCGCCCCGTATGCTACAGCATTTATCTGATGATTGTGCGCCTCAGGAGATCATGCTCGGTGTTATATTCCACCCCCAGATCTTTCCTTGAGTGGGTTTTGCAGTCGTTGGCCTTCTAAAACCTATATTGTGTCTTTGCGGTCTTTCTTTTGCCTTCCCCATCTTCACTGTTTTTGTCAGTTGGGCCACGGGCTAAATTCAAGGAGCCAGTTGCTGGGACCAGGCTTGTAGCCTGTTCCAGGTCTCTTTGTACAGTCCTGCCTGATTCTCGACCGATTTGATTCTTCTCATTAATTCGCATTCATCTGCAACAAAGGACACTTCTGAGTCGATCCCTTCCGTTATGTCATTCGATATACCAAAAAAACAGCACAGGTCCTAGGGACCTACTGACCCTGTGGAACCCCGCTTGTCAAGGAGCCCACTCTGACACTCGTCAGGTACCATGGACTTCGTTGTTGCCTCCCTGTAAAAAATATTCTCTGATCCATTGCAGACCTTTCGTTACGTGTACGCTGATTCCTCTAGCTGTTGCAGTAACCTCGTGTGAGGGAACTGTTCGTCGATAGGCCTTCTTGCAGTCCAAGAAAAATGCAGTTTCAACCCTCTCTTCTTGTCTTACTTCTGTCACCTTGTCATTTATATATTATATATAAATTTATATATATATATATATATATATATATATATATATATATATATATACTATATATATATTATATTTTGTATATATATATACGTATAAATATTTATATTTATATATATTTATATATATATAATATATATATATATTACTATATACGTATTAAATCATATAGATATATATATATATATAAATATTATATATTTAATATTATCTATATATATATATTTATATATATATATCTATATAAAAAGAAAATAAATATTTTTATATTATATATATGTTATATACGTATTATTTTATATATTTATATTATTATATATAATATATATATATTATATTTATATGCGTATTTATATATATTATATATTTATTTATATTTATATATTATTATATACTATATATATATACGTATATATATATTGTATATATATATTATATATATATATATATATATGAATTTATTATTATATATATATATATATATTATATATTTTTATATTATTTATTATACGTATATACTTATATACGTATATATTTATATATATATATATATATGATATATTTTATATATTATATATATGTATATATATATATATACATTATATATCTATATATTTATATATATATATATACATATATATATATAGTATATATAGATATATATATATATATATATTATAATATATATATTATAATATTATATATATATGGTCGACAGGAATATAATTGGGAATCTTGTTTCATAAAAAGCAGTTTTGGACTATATTTTGAATATTTCCTTTGGTTTATATAAATTAGATCCATGTATAATTAATAGAATTTGGGAAGAATTTAATAATTCACTGGACAAATAATAATTTTAAAAATTTTCTTGGGTAGAATAGTTTGTTGGCGGTTGTGCAAAGGATATCGAAAAGGGAAAATGTAGAATATAATTTTGGGTATAATGTGTCTAGCTTGGAATATATTAGTGAGAAGTAAAAAAAGAAATGATGTTATGGGAATGCGAGAACCCTGAGTAGTTAAAAAAACCCACTTGATAACATGAAGTAGATAAGTATGTTTAGGGAGCAATTTGCAATTGAACAGGACGATGTTGTGGGGCCCAGGTTGGGTTTTGGTTACAAGTACTTCGGCAGTTTGGGGGGACACACAGATGATGATCAAACTAAATGTAAATTATGTGATCAGGCATAGGGCACTCTTTTGAAAACTTTTGTGCTTTTTTGTCCCTTTTTTGGGGAAATCAGGACAGACAGTAAATACATATGTGCATGTAAAGTATCTTTTTAAATGAAAATAAAAACCAGATATACTAACAAATTTCCTAAATTTGCTTGTAACAGAAAATTTAAATTAGATATTAGATAAAAATCCTAGTATTCCTGTTAACCCTTTTGGGGGCCTATTTCCCCTGGGCCCCTTTTTTTTTATCCTATGCTCCCGTACCGTCCACAGGAGGATAGGGGTGAAACAATAAATGCCACTTCGGTGGCAAAATCAAATCGCCCAGGGTAAAACTAAAAGGGCAGTTTTGTGCGCCTGCTGTATGCAGCGCCTGTTGGAAAAAAAAAGTTTTCACCCAAAACGTCAGGGGGACAGCCCCAAAAAAAGGAAAAAACTGCGAAAAAGCTAATAAAACGGAGCTCTGCGCACCCTGCCCTCACGGCCGTGAGCGATGGGACAAAAATTCCCTTTTATAACAAGGAAAATTTAATTTATTCAAAACCAACTAAATAATTTTATTAATTTTACAATATATAATAATAAAAAAAACACAATGAAATTATTTTTTCGTTATTTTCGAATGATTTTTGCAAATTATTGCTACACAATTCTTCGCTTACCTTATTCGGAAAAGAGCGTTGCTATTTAAACCAAATTCGAAAGTTATATATTTATATTTTTAAATTTATATTATATAAAAATATATAATGTTTTTGGGTGTACTCAGGTATTGTGGTTGGGGGGGGTTTTGAGTAAAAGCCCCTGGCCCCCTGGTGTTGTTTCTTTTGGATAAAAAAAAGGAAACTTTCTTTATATAAATTTTTTTATTCAAAAGGGCCCGTTAAAATATATTTCCCCGAAAAAATTTTTTTGGTTCACAACACAAAATTTAACTTTTCCCGTGGTATGGCTCACTCAGGGATGAGCCACTTCAGGGGTATGAGCCACCCCCAGTGGTATGAGTACTCCAGTGGTATGATCACTTCGTTTGGGATGAGTATCCCCGTGGTATGAGTCATTTCATGGTTTTGAGATTACTCCAGTGGTATGAGCTCACTCCAGTGGGGCTGACTCACTCCGTGGTCTGAGCCACTCCGTGTTATGAGACACTCCGTAGTTGAGTCACTCAAGGTTGACTTACTCAAGTGGATGAGAAAACTCCGGGTGTCATCTCCTCCAGGGTACAAGCCCTCCCTGGTTTAGGTCTTCCCGTGACATGAGATACTCCCGGGTGTTATCCACTCCTTTGGGACAAGCTCACTCCGGGATGAGTTTCGATCAGGGGATTTATCTCACACCCTGGTTGAGCTCCAAACTGGTGTTTGATTTTGAAGACATGACCTTGGACCTAATACGAAAAAATTTTTTTAAAATTTTTCGTGAGCGCAAACGCAACAAACACTTAAAAAAACGTTTTTTAACCTGCGTCTTGAACTCACGACACTACAAACACGTTCAACGAACGCTTTTTAACCTGCGTCGTGAAACACTGTTTACTGTCTCGATTAAGTGGCAACCAAGACTATCCTGTCCTCCCCTACATAACTATCCACACACACACACACACACACACACACACTCACCCCTAGGACCTATTGACAAGATGAGAGATAAATGCCCTTTGTTTCCCCTTATTCTGTAGGAACCCTTTAAATAGCCCCAAGATATCTCTGCAAGCATTAAATGCTTCTGCGATGTCTCTGAACGTTCTCCAATGCCCCTATATGTACTCCAATGCCTCTAGATGTACTCCAACGCTTCTAGATATACTCCAACGCTTCTAGATGCACTTTAACGCCCCTAGATGTTTTCCAACTCTTCTAAGTGTATTCCAACACCCCCAAATGTTCTCCAACACCTCATATGTTTTCAGATGCCTCTCGATGTTTTCCAACGCATCTAGATGTCCCCTGAAGCTTCTAAACGCCGTCCCATCAACATAGTTGAATGCTTATACCTTTGCACAAGCGTCTGTGGATCACTTCTCATGTGAGTATCCCAGTAAAACGACACAAAATATAATTCTCAACGTCCTCTGATAACTCGGAATGTCTTTCAGCGCATCTAAATGTCTTTCGACGGTTCTAAATAGTTCTTAAGGTCTTTGGACGTCCCTGTATACTGCTAAATACCCATTCACTTCTATACACGTCACTTGCTTCTGCCATGAGTCAGCGGACGCAGCAAATACGCTGCTGGACAACGCTGTAAATTCGCTAAACGACCTCAAATATCCTTAAACGCGTTCCTTGGTACTTCTGCATGGTAGTAAGTGCTCTTCAAAGAACCTCATTCTTCCGGAAGCCACTTGGTACGCTTTGTAAACTTCTTGATGCATCGTGGAAGCACCTTAGGCCACTTTATTCCTCAGGGTGCTCCTGAATGCAGCGTCACTGGAAGTCCATTGCACTTACTGAAAGTTCCCGACAGTTCCTGGAAAAATCATTAATCTCACTGATAATGCCCAACACTGTCTCGAAACATTCATTATGTTCATTACGTTTCTCCTCGTCTACTCTTGTCTATCCACCTACAGCCATCTATTGTCTCTGCTATTCTATTGAGTCTATGTGGCATTACACATTTCTTATCTATTATTCTTTTATATGCTTTAAGTTCTAATGTTTGTCAGTTATTTTATATATATATATATATATATATATATATATATATATATATATATTTCTTGAAAATTAGTCTATTACCTATCAATTCTGTGCCTATACAGCTAATACATGTCTAATAATCGATTACATATTTTAATATCGTGATTATCCATCAATTATTTATACCTATTGCGTGATTATCCACTTATTCAGTCATTACGCATGCATCTATGCCTTTCACAGCCTACCTTAAATAAGTAAAACTGCATCGCCCTGAACATTCAAGATCAACAATGATATTCGATCTCCTTATTTAGACCCCTTGTTGAAGTGAGGCGCAGTAATCCAACCACTTGTTTGCGTCAGTGTTCAGTCCCCTTATCTTAACCCCGTGATGAAGTGAGACGTGGTGTTCGAAACACTCACTGGGTTCAAGCAGTGCTCAATCCACTTATGTCGACCTACTGATGTGAGCGGTGTTGATCTCTATCTCAGCTATTTGATGAGGCTAAACGACCCTTCCTAAGTCGTCACAGGTTGGTACCCACACTAGTGTGTCTGTACGTTATATGCAATACCTTCAATACTTCTTTCACCTTATCTATCTAGGCAGAAGTACGAGAGTTAGATAGTGATATAGTCCTCAGCAGATACAAACTGTATGATTTTCTATTATCCGATCCCAGCTCTTGCAAGGAACTGGGTATACCCAACTCATCTTTAGATCAAACTTGATTTCCTCTCATTTGCCAGCCGAATCTAGTGCTTTCTATTGAATACAACAACAATAACAATCTGCTCTTCCATGTACTCCCCTGTACATAAGTGGTGCCAAACTCTTCAACCTCAGCTGGTCAGCAATTTCACTTCCTATCTGAACAACATTCTTCAAATACTTTTCCCTTGCAAAGGTGAGTTTCCTGGTGTATCATGTCACATACTGTGGCTTTTGACACATTAAGGGTGTTCCTTGACGATACAGAAACAAAATACCACAACACGCACACGATATACGACACTACACACACACACACACACACACACACACACACACACACACACACACACACACACACACACACACTACTGCTATTATGACTACAGTATACTAGAGTTAAAATGCGCGATAGGCTTGACTAGGGTGGGCTCTTATGTTTTATCTTAGTATTGAAGCCTCGAGGGACACGAGAAGGCTTGACCAGGGTCGATTTTTAATGTTCCATCTCGGTAGTGAAGCCTCGAGGGAGACAAGGGAAGGTTACACCTGCAGAATGTCTCCACAGGTCCAGACGAATATAGGAAGAGCCAGCCCGAGCGAGCATCTTGGGATGGATGGGTCGACTGTCGCTCAAGAAATCGTGTTTTCCTCTTCAGGGAGACCGCAGAAAAAATCGCAGAACGAGTGGGGATCGAACTCATGTCAGGTGAGTCTAAATCTCGCTGGCCAGTAGTTAACACACTGCCTTGCGAGTTTTAGGGCTCACCTGCTGTGGCTTCGATCCCTACTCTCATTCTGTGATTTGCAGAAGAAGCTCTCGCTGAGACAACGCTTTCCCTCCATGTGGAGCTCCACACAGTAGCGATAACGCTACTGTGTTTCTTTGAGGGACAACAGGCCATTCCTCATGCCAGAGCAGTGGAGTGGTCTTCGGCTAGGGCGCAACCTGTACCCTGGTATGACCTGTTGGAGTGGCCTTCAGCTAGGGTGCAGCCTACCCTAACACGACCTATCGCGCTGCGTGTCTAGGAGGACGCTAGCCCAGCCCCAGGGCGTTGATCGACGAAGCCACTCCGCCCCTGTTCGAGGTGCACCGGCGACTCAGGTCGAACACTCCCTGCAGAACATAAACACGCGTCAGAGAAAATGGTTAGTGGAAACTAACGTTTTTTGAGCATAATAGAAAAACGTTGCTTAACGACGAATTTTAATTCCTTACTAAAGACTACTTCAGCGATTAACTAAAGATTACCATTGTGGTTCAGCAGAGACCTTATTAGTGGTAACAAAAATAAATGATGTGCTTGTGGTATTGTAAAGGATGTGCTTGTGATATTGTAAATAATATGCTTGTGGTATTGTAAATGATGTGCTTGTGTTATTGTAAAGGATGTGCTTGTGGTATTGTAAATAATATGCTTGTGGTATTGTAAATGATGTGCTTGTGTTATTGTAAAGGATGTGCTTGTGGTATTGTAAATAAATATGCTTGTGGTATTGTAAATGATGTGCTTGTGTTATTGTAAAGGATGTGCTTGTGGTATTGTAAATAATATGCTTGTGGTATTGTAAATGATGTGCTTGTGTTATTGTAAAGGATGTGCTTGTGGTATTGTAAATAATATGCTTGTGGTATTGTAAATGATGTGCTTGTGGTATTGTAAATAACATGCTTGTGGTATTGTAAATAATATGCTTGTGGTATTTTAAATAATATGCTTGTGGTATTGTAAATAATGTGCTTGTGGTATTTTAAATAATATGCTTGTGGTATTGTAAATAATATGCTTGTGGTATTGTAAATAATATGCTTGTGGTATTGTAAATAATGTGCTTGTGGTATTGTAAATAATGTGCTTGTGGTATTGTAAATAATATGCTTGTGATATTGTAAATAATATGCTTGTGGTATTGTAAATAATATGCTTGTGGTATTGTAAATAATATGCTTGTGGTATTGTAAATAATATGCTTGTGGTATTGTAAATAATATGCTTGTGATATTGTAAATAATATGCTTGTGATATTGTAAATAATATGCTTGTGATATTGTAAATAATATGCTTGTGATATTGTAAATAATATGCTTGTGATATTGTAAATAATATGCTTGTGATATTGTAAATAATATGCTTGTGGTATTGTAAATAATATGCTTGTGATATTGTAAATAATATGCTTGTGGTATTGTAAATAATATGCTTGTGGTATTGTAAATAATATGCTTGTGGTATTGTAAATAATATGCTTTGTGGTATTGTAAATAATATGCTTGTGATATTGTAAATAATATGCTTGTGATATTGTAAATAATATGCTTGTGATATTGTAAATAATATGCTTGTGGTATTGTAAATAATATGCTTGTGATATTGTAAATAATATGCTTGTGATATTGTAAATAATATGCTTGTGATATTGTAAATAATGTGCTTGTGATATTGTAAATAATGTGCTTGTGATATTGTAAATAATATGCTTGTGATATTGTAAATAATATGCTTGTGATATTGTAAATAATATGCTTGTGGTATTGTAAAGGATGTGCTTGTGGTATTGTAAATAATATGCTTGTGGTATTGTAAATAATATGCTTGTGGTATTGTAAAGGATGTGCTTGTGGTATTGTAAATAATATGCTTGTGGTATTGTAAATAATATGCTTGTGATATTGTAAATAATATGCTTGTGGTATTGTAAATGATGTGCTTGTGGTATTGTGGTGTCCAGCCAGACATATTATACAACATTTTTCATTATATCCACTTAATGTTTCCTCTGCTGTTGCTAAATGTAACAGAATGAGTAGAACATAATGGAATATGTCTAACTATAGAACAGGATATGTTGAACAACATGAACATTGGCTGGAACAGGGAACGAACTGATGAATGTAATTTAATGTTTATAGGTCATTTAGTGTAAGGAGTGGTGGAGGCTCGATCCTCCGTCCGTGTGGGTGCTGGAAAGGATGAGAGAAGTACGGTTGATGGGATGGATGAAGGACAATTACTCACTGAAGGGCAGGAAGAAGAGGGTGGCACTGGAGGCACGTCCCGACGAGGTCTTGAAGGAGGGTATCTACTGGGCAGGATCCTGAAGACATCAGAAACAAATGAGTAATGCAGAAAGAGAATTATATTGAACAGTTTCAAACAAATCAACCCATCCACTCTCGTGTATTTACACATGTATGTACACATGTTTGAGCTCCTGCATGGCTAATGCACTGGTACTAGGTACATGCATATATGTAACAATACTTGTGTACACACATACCAGGTAGACAGTGGCAAAATCAATCAATAAATAAATAAATGCAAAACATAGTGAAAAAAACAGTGAAATTTCTAAGCGCTTTCCTGATAATGTGAGAAATCACGAAAGTGCTTGGAATTTCATTATTTTCTCACTGTGGTTGCTTTGCATATTGTGATATCACCTGTTTAATGTGATTTTAATGTTATATATATTCTCCATGGGAAAGTGGAACAGAATTCTTCCTCTGTAAGCCATGCGTGTTGTAAGAGGCGACTAAAATGCCGGGAGCAAGGGGCTAGTAACCCCTTCTCCTGTATATATTACTAAATGTAAAAGGAGAAGCTTTCGTTTTTCCTTTTGGGCCACCCTGCCTCGGTGGGATACGGCCGGTGTGTTGAAAGATATATATATATATATAAATATATATATATATATATATATATATATATATATATATAATATATATATATATATATATATATATATATATATTATATATATTATATATAATATATATAAATGAGGGGTGGAGATATGTTTTGCAGTTTTTTAACTGGAGTGTCGACACACCTCTGACAAGACAGCGATGGAGTGAGTGATAATGAAAGTGTTTCTTCTTCTTCAGGTCACTCTGCCTCGGTGAGCAACGGCCATGTGTTAGAAGAGATAAAATAAGTGCCACACACACATATGGCCCTGCCTGACCCTACAATACTCACGTATTCCGACATTTAGCGTTGCCATCTCTCTTGGCACCTGCCCGACAGGCCGACAGTCCCGGTTCGACGACATTACCAGGAGTGGCGAAGGGAAGTGGCGCTCGCCGCTGCCGGTGGTGACTGCGGGAAGAAAGTACCGGGAAGTAGTGTTAGAGGAAGTGAAAAAATAAATAAGTTGCACTGGGGAAGTAACTGGGAGGAGGCTGTACTGGGGTAAGTACCGGGAAGTGCTGTTGCAACATGTGGGGGAAATAACAAAAATATTGTGTTTAGGGCAGTAGTAGGAGCCTGTGTTGGGAAAGTACAGGGAAGTAATGAAAACGTTGAACAACACACGATTGAGTTTGAGCTTAAAAAAGGATTGAGCTTAATACACCATTGACTGCAGTAACATGAGAGAGGTGAAACTGTGATCATTATTGATTATTATTATTATTATTATTATTATTATTATTATTATTATTTTTATTTGACTTATTCTTTTTATTATTATTAGATTTTTATTATTTTATTATTATATTATTATTAGTAGTAGTAATAGTATTTTATTTAATTATTATTATTATAATTATCATTATTATTATTTCATTATTATATGATTATTTTTATTTTATCATTCTGTTATTATTATTATTAATATTATTATTACCATTATAATTATTATATTTCATTATTATTATCAATTTATTATTATTACATTTGAAAAAGAAGCGTTAAACTCGTATGGGCCATACAGTTTCCATCCACGAAAATAGAGAATGAACCCAGTTTCTTGGATCAAGATCCCCTTTGGTACCTTGATGCCAACCAGGGGGAAGAGGGAGAGGGCTCTTGATCCAAAGAACTGGATTTACCTCCCCGTCCTCGAGTCGATCCTGGTTTCCCTACATGATCCCTACGGATCTGGCGCTTCCAGGCTGATTGAAAGGGAAGGGGGAAGTGACACAACTGACAGATCTTTATAAATAAATGTTGAGAAAATTCGGGAATGATTGAGTGGACGCTGATAGCAATAGATGGTGATAGAAACCGATAGACGGTGATAGAAACTGATAGACGGTATTAGAAACTGAAAGACGGTGATAGAAACTGATAGACGGTAATAGAAACTGATAGACGGTGATAGAAACTGATAGACGGTGATAGAAACTGATAGACGGTGATAGAAACTGAAAGACGGTGATAGAAACTGATAGACGGTGATAGAAACTGAAAGACGGTGATAGAAACTGATAGACGGTGATAGAAACTGATAGACGGTGATAGAAACTGATAGACGGTGATAGAAACTGAAAGACGGTGATATAAACTGATAGACGGTGATAGAAACTGATAGACGGTGATAGAAACTGAAAGACGGTGATAGAAACTGATAGACGGTGATAGAAACTGAAAGACGGTGATAGAAACTGATAGACGGTGATAGAAACTGATAGACGGTGATAGAAACTGAAAGACGGTGATAGAAACTGATAGACGGTGATAGAAACTGATAGACGGTGATAGAAACTGAAAGACGGTGATATAAACTGATAGACGGTGATAGAAACTGAAAGACGGTAATAAAAACTGATAGACGGTGATAGAAACTGAAAGATGGTGATAGAAACTGATAGTGACAGAAACTGATAGACGGTATTAGAAACTGAAAGACGGTGATAGAACCTGATAGACAGTGATACAAACTGAAAGACGACAATAGAAACTGAGAGACGGTGATAGAAACTGATAGACGGTGATAGAAACTGATAGACGGTGATAGAAACTGATAGACGGTGATAGAAAATTTGAAGCAGTGGGAGTTGGTGGTACTATAAGACCTGGGGTTGTCAGGTGAGCGTTGAGGTCGTGTTGTGAACCTCTGGGGAGTTCTCAAGACCATGTTGGAAAATGGTTAAGTGATGGAAAACTACGACTGTTGTAGCTTTGTTACAAACCACGACTGTTGTAGCTTTGTTACAAACCACGACTGTTGTAGCTTTGTTACAAACCACGACTGTTGTAGCTTTGTTACAAACCACGACTGTTGTAGCTTTGTTACAAAACCACGACTGTTTGTAGCTTTGTTACAAACCACGACTGTTGTAGCTTGTTACAAACCACGACTGTTTAGCTTTGTTACAAACCACGACTGTTGTAGCTGTATATAACAAACCACGACTGTTGTACTGTGTTACAAACCACGACTGTTGTAGCTGTGTTACAAACCACGACTGTTGTAGCTTTGTTACAAACCACGACTGTTGTAGCTGTATTACAAACCACGACTGTTGTAGCTGTGTTACAAACCACGACTGTTGTAGCTTGTTACAACCACGACTGTTGTAGCTGTTATTTACCAAACCACGATGTTGTAGCTGTATTACAAACCACGACTGTTGTAGCTGTGTTACAAACCACGACTGTTGTAGCTGTGTTACAAACCACGACTGTTGTAGCTGTGTTACAAACCACGACTGTTGTAGCTTTGTTACAAACCACGACTGTTGTAGCTGTATTACAAACCACGACTGTTGTAGCTGTGTTACAAACCACGACTGTTGTAGCTTTGTTACAAACCACGACTGTTGTAGCTGTATTACAAACCACGACTGTTGTAGCTGTGTTACAAACCACGACTGTTGTAGCTTTGTTACAAACCACGACTGTTGTAGCTGTATTACAAACCACGACTGTTGTAGCTGTGTTACAAACCACGACTGTTGTAGCTGTGTTACAAACCACGACTGTTGTAGCTTTGTTACAAACCACGACTGTTGTACCTGTATTACAAACCACGACCGTTGTAGCTGTGTTACAAACCACGACTGTTGTAGCTGTATTACAACCCGACTGTTGCAGCTGTATTACAAACCACGACTGTTGAGCTGTGTTTACAAACCACGGACTGTTGTAGCTTTGTTACAAACCACGACTGTTGTAGCTGTATTACAAACCACGACTGTTGTAGCTGTGTTACAAACCACGACTGTTGTAGCTTTGTTACAAACCACGACTGTTGTAGCTGTATTACAAACCACGACTGTTGTAGCTGTGTTACAAACCGCGACTGTTGTAGCTGTGTTACAACCACGACTTTTTGTAGCTTTGTTACAAAACCACGACTGTTGTACCTGTATTACAAACACGACTGTTGTAGCTGTGTTACAAACCACGACTGTTGTAGCTGTATTACAAACCACGACTGTTGCAGCTGTATTACAAACCACGACTGTTGTAGCTGTGTTACAAACCACGACTGTTGTAGTTGTGTTACAAACCACGACTGTTGTAGCTGTATTACAAACCACGACTGTTGTAGCTGTGTTACAAACCACGACTGTTGTAGCTGTGTTACAAACCACGACTGTTGTAGCTTTGTTACAAACCACGACTGTTGTACCTGTATTACAAACCACGACTGTTGTAGCTGTGTCACAAACCACGACTGTTGTAGCTGTGTCACAAACCACGACTGTTGTAGCTGTGTCACAAACCACGACTGTTGTAGCTTTGTTACAAACTACGACTGTTGTAGCTGTGTTACAAACCACGACTGTTGTAGCTGTGTCACAAACCACGACTGTTGTAGCTGTGTCACAAACCACGACTGTTGTAGCTTTGTTACAAACTACGACTGTTGTAGCTGTGTTACAAACTACGACTGTTGTAGCTGTGTTACAAACTACGACTGTTGTAGATGTGTTACAAACTACGACTGTTGTAGCTTTGTTACAAACTACGACTGTTGTAGCTGTGTTACAAACTACGACTGTTGTAGCTGTGTTACAAACTACGACTGTTGTAGCTGTGTTACAAACTACGACTGTTGTAGCTGTGTTACAAACTACGAATGTTGTAGCTGTGTTACAAACTACGACTGTTGTAGCTGTGTCACAAACCACGACTGTTGTAGCTGTATCACAAACTACGACTGTTGTAGCTGTGTTACAAACTACGACTGTTGTAGTTGTGTTACAAACTACGACTGTTGTAGCTGTATCATAAACCACGACTGTTGTAGCTGTGTCACAAACCACGACTGTTGCAGCTGTGTCACAAACCACGACTGTTGTAGCTGTGTTACAAACTACGACTGTTGTAGCTGTGTCACAAACCACGACTGTTGTAGCTGTGTCACAAACCCACGACTGTTGTAGCTGTGTCACAAACCACGACTGTTGTAGCTGTGTTACAAACCACGACTGTTGTAGCTGTGTCACAAACCACGACTGTTGTAGCTGTGTCACAAACCACGACTGTTGTAGCTGTGTCACAAACCACGACTGTTGTAGCTGTGTCACAAACCACGACTGTTGTAGCTGTGTTACAAACTACGACTGTTGTAGCTGTGTCACAAACCACGACTGTTGTAGCTGTGTCACAAACCACGACTGTTGTAGCTGTGTCACAAACCACGACTGTTGTAGCTGTGTTACAAACCACGACTGTTGTAGCTGTGTTACAAACTATGACGTTGTAGCTGTGTCACAAACCACGACTGTTGTAGCTGTGTTACAAACTATGACTGTTGTAGCTGTGTCACAAACCACGACTGTTGTAGCTGTGTTACAAACTACGACTGTTGTAGCTGTGTCACAAACCACGACTGTTGTAGCTGTGTCACAAACCACGACTGTTGTAGCTGTGTCACAAACCACGACTGTTGTAGCTGTGTCACAAACCACGACTGTTGTAGCTGTGTTACAAAACTATGACTGTTGTAGCTGTGTCACAAACCACGACTGTTGTGCTGTGTTACAAACTACGATGTTGTAGCGTGTCACAAACCACGACTGTTGTAGCTGTGTCACAAACCACGACTGTTGTAGCTGTGTTACAAACTATGACTGTTGTAGCTGTGTCACAAACCACGACTGTTGCAGCTGTGTCACAAACCACGACTGTTGTAGCTGTGTCACAAACCACGACTGTTGTAGCTGTGTCACAAACCACGACTGTTGTAGCTGTGTTACAAACCACGACTGTTGTAGCTGTGTCACAAACCACGACTGTTGTAGCTGTGTCACAAACCACGACTGTTGTAGCTGTCTCACAAACCACGACTGTTGTAGCTGTGTCATAAACCACGACTGTTGTAGCTGTGTCACAAACCACGACTGTTGTAGCTGTGTCACAAACCACGACTGTTGTAGCTGTGTCACAAACCACGACTGTTGTAGCTGTGTCACAAACCACGACTGTTGTAGCTGTGTCACAAACCACGACTGTTGTAGCTGTGTTCTGAACGGTGGATAAAGATCTTAAAAACAAACTTATACCTGTGTATTAATTAAAACAAGTTTATAGTGGTTAATTGTGTTTCAGAGTGTCTACTACACGAGGGTCGCTCAGGCTGCTCTAAGTAACCTGTCCACCACCACTCAAGAATTTAATACCCAAAATATGCATTAAACTGAGAGAAATAAGCCTTTCAGTGTGTTTATATACATTTTATATATATTATATATTATATATATATATATATATATATATATATATATATATATATATATATATATATATATATATATATATATATATATTTTATATATTTAATCTGCCTTGTTATTGCTACAGTCTGAGAAATACGATAATGAGGATGGTGTGTATTTACTCGCTTCATAAATGTTTTACCATAGTTCCTCATAAAATACCAACTTATCAATTACAGAAAACGCAAGGGTTACAAGGACCCTTTGAGTGAAGAATTATATTGATTATCTGACTACGTTTCCAAAAATGTTCAATGATTTATTGGAGAAGTAAAATTTTGAGGGGAATTAGTGGAATTACGAAGAGTGATATCACTCGACTGTACTCATAAGTGGTAGCAGGGGTCGATTCACAGCTCCTGGCCCGCTTCTCTGCTAGTCGCTACTGGGTCCACTCTGTCCCCGATCCAAAAGCCTTATCATACCTCTTCTTAAAGCTATGTATGGATCCTGCCTCCACTACTTCACTCTACAAATTGTTCCACTTCCTGCCAACTCTACAGCTGCTCAGGAAAGGCTTCCTGACATCCCTATGACATATACGGTTTTCAACTTGCAGTTGTGTCCCATCTCTGAAACATTCTAGCCCTGTCCACCTTGTCTATCCCTCTCAGTATTTTCTACGTCGTTATCATGTCTCCCCTATCCCTCCTATCCCCCAGTGTCTTCAGGCTGAGCTCCCTTAACCTCTCCTCACTAGTGTTCCCTGGAATCGAGTTCCAGCTCTTGTAATCCGCCCTCATATTATTGACAAAAAAAAAAAGGAGTTAAGGTCATTCCTTTCAAGGAGGAGCCATGATTCTGGTGTAGGGCTCTTGATTCCATGAATTTCCGGTGCGCTATCTCCCATAAACACATTTAGTCGAGTACACACCATGGAACAAGTTGGAAATACTGGTAGTGAATCACACTACAACTACATACTGCAGTCACCGGGAGGAGGCGAAAAATATCAGTAATGCACAAATAACCCCCACATAGGAGAGAGAAGCTTACGACGACGTTTCGGTCCGACTTGGAACATTTACAAAGTCACACAAATGGTCCAAGTCGGACCGAAATGTCGTCGTAGGCTTCTCTCTCTTGTGTGCGGGTTATTAAGTGTATTGTTCCAGTCACGGTATTTTGTCTTTTTGTTATTTAAATATCAGTAAGTTGCGCATATCCTGACAGAGAGAAAAAAGAGGCTGACCTCGCGAACTTACCCTCCGGTGAAGCCGAGGAACGTGAGAGAGCCGTTCACTGTGATCATGGGAGGTGAGAAGGCGTTCATGTGCGTTGGGAAGAGAGCGACCAGGTTCTCGCGCTCCACTTCGTTGTCCGCTGGATGGTGTTTGCCGCTAGACATCACTGGCTGACCCACGCTCAGGGGCGGTGGGTCATCATCGCTCTCCTGGACCCACACCACAGCCGCCCCTATCTCCGGGCGCCTCAGCAGCGTCGTGCCTGCCGGGGTCTTTGCTTTGGATGGCTTCGAAGTCTTGGAGACGGAGCCTTTGTGCTTCTTGGGAGCTAGGTCGCCGAACTTCTTGGATACGGCGTCCATATCCTCTGAGTCAAGGATCTGGTAGCCGGCGTCTTCCAGCGAGGAGCACACGCCGCGAAGGAGCTCAAGCGATAGCGAGTAATACTCGTCAGACGAGCAGATGGCTGGTCTCTGTTGACAGAGTGTTTGGTTGATTAATGGCCATTAAAACCTGTCAGCTGAAAGAGTCATTAAGGTTATATGTCACCAGTTCAACACCAGTCAAAAATACTTTAATCCCTAAAACAGATATCAAAACATACTCTCAGTATATATACACTAAGAGACATACACCTCACGGTATATACAGTATATATATTTTCTGATAGTAAACACCAGGTGAGTACAAATAAGAAGCACATCTGTCTCGCGTTCAGAAGACTGAGGATCGAGCCTCCACCATGTCTTGCGCTGAATGACCCACATGGGTTTAGCACTTAACGTGAGTTATTTAATTTAAAAATTTTAGTAAACACCAGACATAAACATATGTACTTCCCTATTCCTGGCGATCATTGAGCTCGTGAAGGTTTAGCATATAACATAAACATATAATACGACTTTTATAGCAGTAAGTGGTCATATATATATATATATATATATATATATATATATATATATATATATATATATATATATATATATATATATATATGTCGTGCCGAATAGGCAGAACTTGCGATCTTGGCTTAAATAGCAACGCTCATCTTGCCATATAGGACAAGTGAAAATTTGTGTATGCAATAATTTCGCCAAATTCATTCTGAACCTAACGAAAAAAATATATTTGATTGTGTTTGTTTAGTACTAAATTATTGTAAACGTATTTAAAATATATTTAGATGGGTTAGGCTAAAATAAATTACTGTTATTATAATAAGGTTAGGTAAGTTTTCTAAGAATCTTTTGATGCAAAATTAAAAATTTTTACATTAACATTAATGCAAAATATATATCTTTAAACGTATAAGAGAAAATTTTAGAAAGGACTTAATTTTAAATGAGTTCTTGCTAATTGACCAGTTTTACATATTCGGCACGACATATATATATATATATATATATATATATATATATATATATATATATAATATATATATATATATATATGTCGTGCCGAATAAGCAGAACTTGCCATCTTGGCTTAAATAGCAACGCTCATCTTGCCATATAGGACAAGTGAAAATTTGTGTATGCAATAATTTCGCCAAAATCATTCTGAACCTATCGAAAAAATATATTTCACTGTGTTTGTTTAGTATTAAATTACTGTAAACAAATCTAAAATATATTTAGTTGGGTTAGGCTAAAATAAATTGTTCTTGTTATAATAAGGTTAGGTAAGTTTTCTAAGTTCCTTTTGGTGCAAAATTAAAATTTTTTACATTAACATTAATGAAAAAAATATATCTTTAAACGTATAAGAGAAAATTTCAGAAAGGACTTAATTTTAAATGAGTTCTTGCTAATTGACCAGTTTTACATATTCGGCACGACATATATATATATATATATATATATATATATATATATATATATAATGTTGTGCCGAATAGGCAAAATTTGTCAATTATCAAGACCTCATTTAAAATTAAGTCCTTTCTACAATTTTCTCTTATACGTTTAAAGATTTTTTTTTTTTCATTTATGTTAATGTAAAAAATATAACAAGCGCAATTTAATCCAACTAAATATATTTTAGATAAGTTTACAATTATTTAATAATAAACACAATGAAATACATTTTTTCGTTAGGTTTAGAATGATTTTTGCAAAATTATTGCATACACAAATATTCGCTTACCTTATTCGGCAAGAAGAGTGTTGCTATTTAAACAAAAGTAGCAGGTTTTACCCAATCGGCATATATATATATATATATATATATATATATATATATATATATATATATATATATATATATATATATATACATTGTGTGTGTGTGTGTACTCACCTAGTTGTACTCACCTAGTTGAGGTTGCAGGGGTCGAGTCCAAGCTCCTGGCCCCGCCTCTTCACTGGTCGCTACTAGATCACTCTCCCTGAACCGTGAGCTTTATCATACCTCTGCTTAAAGCTATGTATGGATCCTGCCTCCACTACATCGCTTCCCAAACTATTCCACTTACTGACTACTCTGTGGCTGAAGAAATACTTCCTAACATCCCTGTGATTCATCTGTGTCTTCAACTTCCAACTGTGTCCCCTTGTTGATGTGTCCAGTCTCTGGAACATCCTGTCTTTGTTCACCTTGTCAATTCCTCTCAGTATTTTGTATATCGTTATCATGTTCCCCCTATCTCTCCTGCCCTCCAGTGTCGTCAGGTTGATTTCCCTTAACCTCTCCTCATAGGACATACCTCTTAGCTCTGGGACCAGTCTTGTTGCAAACCTTTGCACTTTCTCTAGTTTCTTTACATGCTTGGCTAGGTGTGGGTTCCAAACTGGTGCCGCATACTCCAATATGGGCCTAACGTACACGGTGTACAGGGTCTGAACGATTCCTTATTAAGATGTCAGAATGCTGTTCTGAGGTTTGCCAGGCGCCCATATGCTGCAGCAGTTATTTGGTTGATGTGCGCTTCAGATGTGCCTGGTGTTATACTCACCCCAAGATCTTTTTCCTTGAGTGAGGTTTGTAGTCTCTGGCCCCCTAGACTGTACTCCGTCTGCGGTCTTCTTTGCCCATCCCCAATCTTCATGACTTTGCACTTGGTGGGGTTGAACTCAAGGAGCCAATTGCTGGACCAGGTCTGCAGCCTGTCCAGATCCCTTTGTAGTTCTGCCTGGTCTTTGATCGAATGAATTCTTCTCATCAACTTCACGTCATCTGCAAACAGGGACACTTCGGAGTCTATTCCTTCCGTCATGTCGTTCACAAATACCAGAAACAGCACTGGTCCTAGGACTGACCCCTGTGGGACCCCGCTGGTCACAGGTGCCCACTCTGACACCTCGCCACGTACCATGACTCGCTGCTGTCTTCCTGACAAGTATTCCCTGATCCATTGTAGTGCCTTCCCTGTTATCCCTGCTTGGTGTGTGTATATAGGGAAATCAATGTGAAGGAATGTGATATTAAGTGTACATTGATATTTTTTAAGTTGTTAGAGGCTGGGCTGGTCATAGAATAAATCCAGAGATATTGTGGCGATCGTAGGACAATTTCGTGAATATTTCTGAAGCTATTAAAGGGTTGTGATGGGAACTATTACTAACGTTAAACTCGTATGCTTAAGTTGATGTCAAGACAAATAAATATAACAAGAATATACTGTGTGTATCAGTGGAATTATACACCGACGACTTTGACAAGACGTTTCGCCCATCAGGGACTTTATCAATGAATAAAATCTCTGGTTATTAACCACATGTTGTGGTTTCTTAACGTAGTTATACGTAAGTTCATGTGAGTTGAGACGGAGTGGACGAAACTCAGAAGAGGGATAGAAAGGTAGGACTGACCGTGCCTATCCTGTAGCACTTGCCGTCGACGAGGGCAGGCACGAAGGGCAGGTCGTCAGGGCCTCGCTTCAGGTTCAGGCCCTTACAGGGATCGGGTTTGCACTCCGGGGGACGCCTGAAGTCGCTGAACCAAAACACCTGGAGGAGAAAAGACGGAATCTTAACTAGGAAGTCAGAAAGAAAGGAAGGAATAATGAAAGAAGGGAAGAAAGGTGTGAAATAATAAAAAATAGTAAAAACAATAAAAAAATTAAGGCGGAACGTTAATTGTTGATTTGGAGAAACACTGGATGAGTGTAGGGGTGTGAGCCCACCACATCTGCCTTCTGACACGGCTGAAGTGTTAATGCTAAAAAAGACCTTGTTGTTAAAATAGGAAGAGGTCAAAAAAATTGGCTTCTCTCACTTCTCCTGGGGGACAGTCGGAGATGTGGCCGAGGATAGGTTCACAGACATCATCGTCCAAGTCATCGTCCTCCTCATAAGTACCGTCAGGACAGCCACACACCGGTGACCCGTAGCTGGTAGTGAAGAGCTGCCGACCAGCTGGTGAGAGAGAGATTAGAAAACGCAGTCTTAGTAAGATACACTGTGTACTTTATTAATTACGCACTGTGACGAATGTAAACTCGTGCATATCTTGACTCAGTCGTCCAGTCAGTCAGTCAGTCAATCTGATAGCTAGTCGGTCATTCAGTTGGAAAGCCAATCAGTCGTTTAGGAAGGCCAGTCAGTCAATCAGCAAGCCAATCGGATAGCTAATCAGTCTCTCAGTAAGCCATCCAATCACTCAGCAACCCATTCAGTCACTCAGCAAGCCAGTCAGTCACTCAACAAGAAAGGTCAGTCAGGAAGCTAGTCAGTCAATCGGCAAGCCAACCAGTTAGTTAATTAGCCAATCAGGTAGAAAAAATAGACTAGGAAACAAATCTTACATTAATACTACATCCACCCAGCAATCCACCCACTCACCATCCACCCAGCCACCCACCATCCACCCAGCCACCTGTCAGCATAGTTGCTGATCCCCTTACATGTGTTGTATAGCTTATCTGAGTATCATAGTACCATCCATATGTTTTATATACACGACCCCTTTTGCTAGGCCTAAGACTAGTTTGTGTGACGTCACGTGGCGTCACACAAACTAGTCCCTAGGCCTAGCAAAAGGGGTCGTGTATATAAAACATATGGATGGTACTATGATACTCAGATAAGCTATACAACACATGTAAGGGGATCAGCAACTATGCTGACACACCCACCATCCACCCAGCCACCCACCATCCACCCAGCCAGTGCTTGGTGAAGTTAGTACTCACGAGGACAGACACCCAGTTCACGTGGATGATGACACAACTGATCACTGAATAAGAACACACGGTCCGGTGCACACAGCTGGCGACCGCAAAACCCCTGTGGAAAGTAACAGCATTTGAGAGTATATATTAGTACATGAGAGTATATAAGAATACATGGGAGCACATGAGAATATATGGGAGTATGTGGGAAAGGATGACAGCAGAAGAGTTTGTTATCTACTTCAAGGCTATCTGTTGCAACGTCTAACTTTGTCTAGAGGAGGCTGAGCTGAGGGTACTTACAGCAGGAGGAGGAACAGAAGGAGCAGCAGTAGGGGGAAAGAAAATCGGTAGAAGGAATGGGAAGAGAGGACTAGAGCCACATCAAGAGGGAAAATACAGTTACTCACTTCTCCTCTATCCACTAGAAAGGAATTGTCCCCTTTCCTTCTATGTTTAAATGTTGACACACATTCTCTCTCTCTCTCTCTCTCTCTCTCTCTCTCTCTCTCTCTCTCTCTCTCTCTCTCTCACCTTCCTGGTGGCTGGATTCATCAGCACGATGTGGTCGTCCTCACAAGGACCCTGGGACAGTAGGTCGTGGCACTCCCCATCCTCGTCCACCAACACCTCGTCCCTCGAACACACGTCCACCGCCTGGTCGTCCCCACCTGGACAACAGGGAACAGCAAAGTGAATACCATCACCAACAGCCTAACTGGTCGTGGTAATACACAGGGTACATGAGTAACCAAAGTGTAATGAACACTTGTCAGTCCTCAATAATAACACATATGAAGACAGAGACTCAAAAAGGGGTCGAAATATACAGATCACTCAATTTCCTTAATTTCTGTGTCCATGTTGGTCATTACTCAGCATAGGAAATATATGAGTTACTCATAAGCATATTTTAAACAAGACATGAGTATATTTTTTGTGAGTATGTCGTGAATATGACATGAGGATTAAGTGATTCAGGTTTATTCTCCAATAAATATATCCTTTACTTATATAATTGTATCACCCAAAGCATAATTAAAACTACTTGTGTTAAGCAAAATACATTAAAATTAATTAGGGATACAAGTATACCTATCTCTAGAGAGATACAGAGCAGTGTTGAATGAGAAGAATATTAAGTAAACAAGGGAACTGTATTTGGGATTTTAGACTCTTTAAAGCAAGGAACCTTAAATATACAAAGCTTCACTTCACATTGAGAGTTCATGAGGTTTGACCCGAACTGGAACTTTTTCAAGCCAAAGATCAAGCTTCACGAACAGTTTAAATGTTTTTTTTTTCTCTCTCTTTTTCTTTTCCAAAAGGCGGATCACCTTGTCACGGCGGTTGTGGCAGGAATCCCAGGACTGTACTTGTGCTGTCTTCCATGCAGTCCCTCCTAGTGTCCTTCCTATTTCAATTTCAAATATATATATATATATATATATATATATATATATATATATAATATATATATATATATATATATATATATATATATATATATATATATATATCTTTCAATAAACCGGCCATATCCCACCGAGGCGGGGTGGCCCTAAAGGAAAAACGAAAGTTTCTCCTTTTACATTTAGTAATATATACAGGAGAAGGGGCTACTAGCCCCTTGCTCCCGGCATTTTAGTCGCCTCTTACAACACGCATGGCTTACGGAGGAAGAATTCTGTACCACTTCCCAATGGAGATAACAGGAAATAAACAAGAACAAGAACTAGTAAGAAAAATAGAAGAAAACCCAGAGGGGTGTGTATATATATGCTCGTACATGTATGTGTAGTGTGACCTAAGTGTAAGTAGAAGTAGCAAGACGTACCTGAAATCTTGCATGTTTATGAGACAGAAAAAAGGACACCAGCACTCCTACCATCACGTAAAACAATTACAGGCTTTCGTTTCACACTCATTCGGCAGGACGGTAGTACCTCCCTGGGTGGTTGCTGTCTACCAACCTTCTACCTACTATATATATTTATATATATATATATATATATATATATATATAATATATATATATATATATATATATATATATATATATGTATATATATATATATAATATATATATATATATATATATATATATATATATATATATATATATATATATATATTCTACTGAATTCTGAAGTCGTGTGGGTCACTGTGGGAGTCATCGAGTTTTTTTTTTCGTGCAGTAATCGAGACCTGGTCTCTGTTCCGCTAGGCTGCTGGTGATCACCGTTTCCTCGTGCGGCAGCAGTTACTTAGCAATAATGTCTGTAAAAGATGTGATTCTTCTTGAAATTTCATTTCTGTTCTGTTCAAAAATAGTTGGATTTGTTCGATGACTAGCGGAATATTCGCGCTGTTAGGTGTTAATGTGTCCAGGCAACGAGATGGGGAAAAGTGCCCGAGTGCGGACCTTGGGAAAAACACCTAGACCCCGGACTTTGGAGAAAGTACTCACCCCCAGTGTTGGGGAAAGTTCTCGGGCCTCGACCTTGGAGAAAATACCCAGGCTCCGACCTTGATGAAAGTACGCAAACCCATAATTGATAAATTAGACACATGTGCAACTCTTGGGTATCTTTATTGAGGAAACGTTTCGCCACACAGTGGCTTCATCAGTCCATACAAAGGAGAATCTTGAAGAATAGGAGGAGAATGAGGTAATCAGTCCCTCAACCTTGAGTCGATGTGGTCAGTCCATCAATCTTGAATAGAATACGGCATACGTGCTGAGAAGGAGCTTATATACCGTTGGCAGGAGAGGTGAAGCAGTCAGAGGCAGTGTAACACTTATTCAATGTTGAAGTAGGTCGTGCCCAAGAATTAGGCAAGCGAAGAATTCCCTAGTATTAAGATCCCAAGAAGATGCAGTGTCTGACAGCTCTGTAGATGAATGGTTCAGAGAACCGACATGTTGATAAATTAGACACATGTGCAACTCTTGGGTATCTTTATTGAGGAAACGTTTCGCCACACAGTGGCTTCATCAGTCCATACAAAGGAGAATCTTGAAGAATAGGAGGAGAATGAGGTAATCAGTAATCATGTGTCTAATTTATCAACATGTCGGTTCTCTGAACCATTCATCTACAGAGCTGTCAGACACTGCATCTTCTTGGGATCTTAATACTTGGGAATTCTTCGCTTGCCTAATTCTTGGGCACGACCTACTTCAACATTGAATAAGTGTTACACTGCCTCTGACTGCTTCACCTCTCCTGCCAACGGTATATAAGCTCCTTCTCAGCACGTATGCCGTATTCTATTCAAGATTGATGGACTGACCACATCGACTCAAGGTTGAGGGACTGATTACCTCATTCTCCTCCTATTCTTCAAGATTCTCCTTTGTATGGACTGATGAAGCCACTGTGTGGCGAAACGTTTCCTCAATAAAGATACCCAAGAGTTGCACATGTGTCTAATTTATCAACATGTCGGTTCTCTGAACCATTCATCTACAAACCCATAATTGGGGAAGATGATCGGTGAGGTAGCTGGATGACTCAAAGACGCTTCAGTGAAGGGTCATGATGCTCTTCTGCTTCCTCACATCAAACCACTTTGCCTCCTATTTCCCAGGCTCTACATGATTCATGCGCTCTTATCTCTTCCCAAAGACCAAAACGATAATAATAGAAGGAACGAGTGAGGGCGCAGCTGATAGACTGAGTCAGAATATCTGTATGGGAAAACGGGAGATTATCATCCTTGATTTGGGGAAGAGGAAGACAGATCCAGTTGCTTGGATCAGGAGAATCTCACCAGCATCCCCTGGAAGAGGGTAAAGATCCGCGAGTGAGAGCAAGACGGCTAACAGCTCCTCAGACGCCGTGGAAGATGAGTCGAGGAAGTTGATATGGCATGTGTCTGAGTGAGTTTTTGAGAGCAACGCTCAAGGTCAGTGAGAAAGAGTTGGGGACATCAGTGTCAACAAGTGGGGTAAAAAAACAATAAAAACTGCTGCGTTAAGTAATCATAGATCGCTTACTGACAGTTCTATAATCACTGAGTTAAAAGTCATTGTGAGACGTAAAAAGCAGTGAGGTGCGGTTGGTAAGTGATAGCAATAAGCAGTGACGTGAGGGGTCCCTTGATGCTGTGGTGTGTACTCACCTAATTGTGGTTGCAGAGGTCGATTCATAGCTCCTGTGTGTATTCACCTAGTTGTGTTTGCAGGGGTCTAGCCACAGTTCCTGGCTCCATTTGCGTGTTGGTGTGTGCGTGTGGGTGTATGCGTGTGGGTGTATGCGTGTATGTATGTGTGTGGGTGTATGCGTGTAATGTGTGTGTGTATGTGTGTGTATGTGTGTGTGTGTGTGTGTGTGTGTGTTTGTGTGTGTGTGTGTGTGTTGCTATGATTTGAGTCCATTTTGATTCACGTGTTTTATGTCTTGAGTGTTCTAACAATTGTCTGAAGACAACATTGTCTTGGTCCCCAGGCAGAAGCTTCAGCCTTGTCGAGAGACTGATTTCCTGAAGGCTGTAATTAAGGCTGCTAGACCTCACTCTCACCACATATGACAATGAAAAAGCCTTAGTTTCCGTTTTTTTCAAATTTACCAATGCCCCAATGTTTGGAAGGCATTAGATAATAGATTATAACCTGTCAAGAAACCATCATGAATTTTATATAGGTTATTATACAAATGTTTGCTATAATTAGCCATACAGTGAACACCTGCACCTGAGATAAGTAAGACACACGCGTTTCGCCTGCCCAGCAGACTTTATCAGTTGATAAATTAGACACTTGGGTATCTTTATTGTGGAAATGTTTCTCCAGAGTAGTGTCCTAAGTCCAATACAAAGAAGAACTATAAAGATTAGAAAGAGAGCCACAGTAAAGATACCCAAGTGTTGCACGTGTGTTTAATTTATCAACTTGTCGGTTCTCTGAGCCTATTTATCTACATTCATCAGTCGAACATAGAAAAGATTACTGGAGACAGTAGAAGTGGAGAAGTTATCTGAACTAATCAGTCCCTCAGCCTTGATTGAAGATGGCCAGTTTCCTCAGTAAAGATTCCTAAGTGCTGTTCATGTGTCTTACCTACCAGCTCGTCGTTACTATACACTATTTACAAGCCACCCAACTGGTACATTTACAAGCTACCTACCTGGTACATGCCCCAGCAGCGTCGGGATGCGCACGTCAACAACCTGACGCCTCACCCTCAACAGAACCTCCTCACTGGCAGTCGCGTTGTTGATAGACTCCTCTTGTCGTCTCTTCTCCTTTTCAAGCAGGTACTTCTCCTTCAGCTTCTCGACCATCTCTGGCTTGACGAAATATTGATTAATTTCATTGACCTTGTCCTGAAGTTTTTCCCCTTGTGGATTGGGGGCCTCGAAGTTCGGTATTACGAAGGTCGCAGGCCGTGGGTACGTGAGTTGGAAAAAATTCTGCGGGAGGAGTAATGAATGTAATATCAGTAATTAGATTTGCGTGTGTGAGTGTGAGTGTGTGTGTGTGTGTGTGTGTGTGTGTGTGTGTGTGTGTGTGTGTGTGTGTGTGTGTGTGTGTGTGTGTGTGTGTGTGTGTGTGTGTATGTGTGTGTACTCACCTGCGTCACGTCAGCGCCCACCATGGTCGCCGCGCAGTTCGCCAGATTCGCCGCAGCGACGACGAGGCCGATCACTGAGATAACCTGCATGGCCCAGAAGGCCGTAGCGCCGTATAAGGCGCCGATGTCGTTGCAATCTCTGTCACCGCTGATGGTGTAGCTGGTGTTGGCTATCTGTGAGAGAGAGCAGAGAGATGCTGGTAATCTGTGAGCGAGTGATGCTGATGGTAATACTCGTGATATGTTGGAGTAAGAGAAAGAGAGAGAAAGAAAGGAAAAGAGAGAGGCATAGAATGTTGATGGTGTGGGTGAGCGAGATCTGGCACCCATCTTCAAGACTCGAACACCCAACTGTAAAGAAAATGGATTACCCACTAAAATATTGATCATCCACCTTGAATGTATGTATTATTGTGTATGTTATAGTTAGGATGATTTTATATTTGTCTTGTACGCAAGATGCAGATTTACCTAATATCCCTCCCAAAAAATATTGTTATTCTCCATGTACAGATAGGGAACTGCACAGTTGTTAAATAGAGTTAGATGTATCTGTGACAGAGCAACAGCTTGGTGGGCAGTCCTCTCCAAAATGATATAACCTGCCGTCTGGCTTTCCCATGCTCTACCAAATTGGTTGAAGCCAAAGTGGAGGAATGGCCTTCTCACCTGTGCCACGTCTGTGTGTCATTACTCATTTTGTAAGATAATAGTTACCTATGCTCTTCAAATGTGGGTGCAAATGATGTTTCTGTTATGTTTCGTCCAGCCACACCAGCATTCTCAGAAGCTTCTAGAGGATTCTGAGAATGCTGACAGGTATTCCTGTCTTGCTTCTGACACCCACCTTGAAAAAAATTAGAGCACCTAGAAAGTAATAGAACATCAGCGTTGAAAAAAAATAAAACACCCACCTTGAAAACAATAGAACACCCACCTTGAAAACAATAGAACACCCACCTTGAAAACATCAGAACACCTACCTTGAAAACATCAGAACACCTACCTTGAAAATATCAGAACACCCACATTGAAAATAGCTCCCACACCCACCTGGAAGGGGCAGCAGATCCAGGGGACGACGGTACAGGCTAGAGGAGAGAGGCTGAGGTAGAGAATGAACTGAAGACTCTCTCCAATGAATCTCTCACACGGTAAATTGATGAACGGGAAGTAGCCTGTCAGGGAGACACAAACACACACAGACGAGTGAGACGAATTATATCATCCCCTCGATTATTCAGCGATTACAGCAGATTATTCACCCGGTCATCTACTGGACATATACCGGGCAGCGGGGGCGTTGACCCCCGAAATACCCTCCAGGTATACCTTTGACCGGTTATCGCCATCATTCAACGAATGAGAGCTAAAATTGATCTCGTTTTAAACTAGAAAAATAGCACTATACATCCGTCCCTACAATCAGCACTCGAGGCTCATCTCAATAACATAAAAAGATATGTATATTATTTTAGACAAATTGAATGTGTTTTATATAATTAATAAAAAAATATGCGTTACTCTGGATTAAATATTGTTGTTGAGTTATTGTTGGTTAGGTATTGTTAGTTAGGTATTGATAGTTAGGTATTGTTAGTTAGGTATTGTTAGTTACGTATTGATAGGTATTGTTTGTTAGGAATTATTGGTGAGGTATGTTAGTTAGGTATTGTTGGTTAGGCATTGTTGGTGAGGTATTGTTGGTTATGTATTGTTACTTAGGTATTGCTGGTTAGGTATTGTTCGTTAGGAATTGTTGATTCAACTAACCTCCCGCTCCAATAGGCAGCACATACATGTTGTTATTGTTATAGTGTTGTTGTTGCTGTTGTTTCTGCTCGGTGTTGTTTTTTTCTTGTTAATGGTGATGTCACTCGCTATTTTTATTGTTGCTGTTGTTTTTTGCGCAATTGTTGTTGTTGTTGTCGTTCGTTGTTACTGATGTTGTTGTTGGTAGTGGGGATGGTGGTGCTGTCACTCGCTTTTGTTGTAGTTGTCGTAAGTCGCTATTGTTTTTGTTTGTGGTTACTCGCTATAGTTGTTGTCAATCGCTATTATTGTCGTTGCTGTTGTCGTTGCTGTTGCTTGTGTTTCTATTGCTGTAGTTGTTGTAATTGTTATTGTTGTTTTTGTTGCTGTTGCTGGTGCTGCTGCTGTTCCTGTTGCTGCTATTGTTAATGTCGCTGTTTTTGGTGCCGGAAGAATTACATTAAAAGAGCGGAAACAAAAGCACTGTGGTCGTGTGTTTGTTTGTGTGTCCCTGGATACTCGCGACACAAACAAAACACAAACAGCTATTCTTGATATAAGTGACAGTCGCTGTTGTCTGTACTAAGTCTATTGTTTACGTTCTTTAATAGACTTGCTGCGATCTATCTCTTCCATTTTGTGATAGAATAAGGTCGATAGAATAATAGATTAATAATAGATTTTGGTGGTTCCATTATATTTTGTAATAGATGGTAGCAGGTCTAATTGTGTCCTTTTATAATAGATTTAATTCAATCTATTACTTTTGTTTTATATCTCCGTAGATCTATTTTAATCTTTTTTTTTAATAGACTGTGGTGGCTATTGTGTCAGTGTTTTAATAGATTCTGAACTACGCATAGATTTTTGATTTGCAATAGACTGAGGCCACTCTATTGTTACTTTTTATTGGTAATAGATTGTGGTCGATCTACTGGTTTCGGGTCAGGTGACCAGGATGGGAGGCCAGGTGACCAGCAGTGATGGGAGGCCAGGTCACGAGCAGTGATGGGAGGCCAGGTGACCAGCAGTGATGGTAGGCCAGGTCACGAGCAGTGATGGGAGGTCACGTCACCAGCAGTGATGGGAGGCCAGGTGACCAGCAGTGATGGGAAGTCAGGTGACCAGCAGTGATGGGAGGTCAGGTGACCAGCAGTGATGGGAGGTCAGGTCACGAGCAGTGATGGGAGGTCACGTCACCAGCAGTGATGGGAGGTCACGTCACCAGCAGTGATGGGAGGCCAGGTGACCAGCAGTGATGGGAGGTCAGGTGACCAGCAGTGATGGGAGGTCAGGTGACCAGCAGTGATGGGAGGTCACGTCACCAGCAGTGATGGGAGGCCAGGTGACCAGCAGTGATAGGAGGTCAGGTGGCCAGCAGTGATGGGAGGTCAGGTGACCAGCAGTGATGGGAGGTCAGGTCACGAGCAGTGATGGGAGGTCACGTCACCAGCAGTGATGGGAGGCCAGGTGACCAGCAGTGATGGGAGGCCACGTCACCAGCAGTGATGGGAGGCCAGGTGACCAGCAGCGATGGGAGGTCACGTCACCAGCAGTGATGGGAGGTCACGTCACCAGCAGTGATGGGAGGTCACGTCACCAGCAGTGATGGGAGGCCAGGTGACCAGCAGTGATGGGAGGTCACGTCACCAGCAGTGATGGGAGGCCAGGTGACCAGCAGTGATGGGAGGTCACGTCACCAGCAGTGATGGGAGGCCAGGTGACCAGCAGTGATGGGAGGTCAGTCAGGTGACCAGCAGTGATGGGAGGTCAGGTCACGAGCAGTGATGGGAGGTCACGTCACCAGCAGTGATGGGAGGTCAGGTGACCAGCAGTGATGGAGGTCAGGTGACCAGCAGTGATGGGAGGCCAGGTCACGAGCAGTGATGGGAGGTCACGTCACCAGCAGTGATGGGAGGCCAGTTGACCAGCAGTGATGGGAGGTCACGTCACCAGCAGTGATGGGAGGCCAGGTGACCAGCAGTGATGGGAGGTCAGGTGACCAGCAGTGATGGGAGGTCAGGTCACGAGCAGTGATGGGAGGTCACGTCACCAGCAGTGATGGGAGGTCAGGTGACCAGCAGTGATGGAGATCAGGTGACCAGCAGTGATGGGAGGCCAGGTCACGAGCAGTGATGGGAGGTCACGTCACCAGCAGTGATGGGAGGCCAGGTGACCAACAGTGATGGGAGGCCAGGTGACCAGCAGTGATGGGAGGCCAGGTCACGAGCAGTGATGGGAGGTCACGTCACCAGCAGTGATGGGAGGTCAGGTGGCCAGCAGTGATGGGAGGTCAGGTGACCAGCAGTGATGGGAGGTCAGGTGACCAGCAGTGATGGGAGGCCAGGTCACGAGCAGTGATGGGAGGTCACGTCACCAGCAGTGATGGGAGGTCAGGTGACCAGTAGTGATGGAGGTCAGGTGACCAGTAGTGATGGGAGGTCAGGTGACCAGCAGTGATGGGAGGGCAGGTGACCAGCAGTGATGAGAGGCCAGGTGACCAGCAGTGATGGGAGGCCAGGTCACGAGCAGTGATGGGAGGTCACGTCACCAGCAGTGATGGGAGGTCAGGTGACCAGCAGTGATGGAGGTCAGGTGACCAGCAGTGATGGGAGGTCAGGTGACCAGCAGCGATGGGAGGTCAAGTGACCAGCAGTGATGGGAGGTCAGGTGACCAGCAGTGATGGGAAGTCAGGTGACCAGCAGTGATGGGAGGTGAGGTGACCAGCAGTGATGGGAAGTCAAGTGACCAGTAGTGATGGGAAGTCAGGTGACCAGCAGTGATGGGAGGTGAGGTGACCAGAAGTGATAGGAAGTCAGGTCACCAGCAGTGATGGGAAGTAGGTCACCAGCAGTGATGGGAAATCAGGTCACCAGCAGTAATGGGAGGTCAGGTGACCAGCAGTGATGAGAAGTCAGGTGACCAGCAGTGATGGGAAGTCAGGTCACCAGCAGTGATGGGAAGTCATGTCACCAGCAGTGATGGGAGGTCAGGTCACCAAGAGCTGATGGGATGTCAGGTCACCAGAAGCTGATGGGAGGTCAGGTCACCAGAAGCTGATGGGAGGTCAGGTCACCAGAAGCTGATGGGAGGTCAGGTCACCAGAAGCTGATAGGAGGTCAGGTCACCAGAAGCTGATGGGAGATCAGGTCACCAGGCAGTGATGGAGTCAAGTTAGTAATCTGTAATAATTTCACAATAAAATTAGATCAGAACTAGACATACATACACACACACACACACACACACACACACACACACACACACACACACACACACACACACACACACACACACACACACACACACACACATACACCACAGTTACAGTATTAGAACAGAAGTTGAAGGTTTGGTACACAAATGTGGATGGATTAACGAATAAACATGAGGAATGGCAAGAAAGAATCAATGAGAAGTCCCCAGACATCATAGCAGTTACAGAAACAAAACTCACGGAGACAATAACAGATGCAATCTTCCCACCAGGATACCAGATCATGAGGAAAGATAGAAGGGGCAGGGGGGGAGGTGGGGTTGCTCTGCTCGTAAAAAACAGATGGAAATTCGAGAAAATGGAAGGCATAGATGAGACGGGAGAAAGAGACTACATAGCAGGTACACTTCAGTCTGGGGAACACAAAGTGGTCATTGCAATGATGTATAATCCACCACAGAACTGCAGGAGGCCAAGAGAGGAATATGAAGAGAGCAACAGAGCAATGGTGGACACACTTGCTGAGGTGGCAAGAAGAGCTCATTCCAGCAGATCAAAGTTGCTGGTTATGGGGGATTTCAACCACAAGGAGATTGACTGGGAAAACCTGGAGCCACATGGGAGTCCCGAAACATGGAGAGCCAGGATGCTGGACGTGGTGCTGGAAAACCTCATGCACCAACATGTTAAGGACACTACCAGAGTGAGAAGCGAGGACGAACCAGCAAGATTGGACCTTGTGTTCACCCTGGGCAGTTCAGACATTGAGGACATCAAGTATGAGAGTCCCCTAGGAGCTAGCGACCACGTGGTTCTGTGCTTTGAATACATAGTAGAGCTGCAAGTGGAGAGAATAACAGGAGTTGAATGGGAAAAGCCTGACTATAAAAGAGGGGACTACATAGGGTTGAAGAACTTCCTGCGGGAGGTCCAGTGGGACAGAGAACTGGCAGGAAAGCCAGTAAATGAAATGATGGAATATGTAACAACAAAATGCAAGGAGGCAGTGGAAAGGTTTATTCCCAAGGGCAACAGTAACAACGGGAAGACCAGAACGAGCCCCTGGTTTACCCAACGGTGTAAGGAGGCAAAAACAAAGTGCAATAGAGAATGGAAAAAGTACAGAAGGCAGAGAACACACGAAAATAGGGAGATCAGTCGCAGAGCCAGGAATGAGTATGCACAGGTAAGGAGGGAGGCCCAGCGACAGTATGAAAATGACATAGCATCGAGAATCAAGACTGACCCGAAACTGTTGTATAGCCACATCGGGGGGAAGACAACAGTCAAAGACCAGGTGATCAGATTAAGGGCAGAAGGTGGAGAACTCAAAAGAAATGATCAGGAGGTATGTGAGGAGCTGAACAGGAGATTTAAGGAAGTTTTTACAGTAGAGACAGGAAGGGCTGTGGAAAGACAGCACAGAAGGGAACATCAAGAGGGAATATACCAACAAGTGTTGGATGACATACGAACAACTGAGGAGGAGGTGAAGAAGCTCTTAAGTGACCTTGACACCTCAAAGGCGATGGGACCGGACAACATCTACCCGTGGGTCCTTAGAGAAGGAGCAGAGATGCTGTGCGTGCCTCTACCCACAATCTTCAACACATCCCTTGAAACTGGGCAACTACCTGAGAAATGGAAGACAGCTAATGTAGTCCCCATATTTAAGAAAGGAAACATAAATGAGGCACTAAACTACAGACCTGTGTCTCTGACATGTATTGTGTGCAAAGTCATGGAGAAGATTATCAGGAGGAGAGTGGTCGAACACCTGGAAAGGAACAAGATTATAAATGAAAACCAGCATGGGTTCATGGAAGGCAAATCTTGTATCACAAACCTCCTGGAGTTTTATGACAAGGTAACAGAAGTAAGACATGAGAGAGAGGGGTGGGTAGATTGTGTTTTCCTAGACTGCAGGAAGGCCTTTGACACAGTTCCCCACAAGAGATTAGTGCAGAAGCTGGAGGATCAGGCGCATGTAAAAGGGAGGGCACTGCAATGGATAAGGGAATACCTGACAGGGAGGCAGCAACGAGTCATGGTACGTGAAGAGGTATCACAGTGGGCGCCTGTTACGAGCGGGGTCCCACAGGGGTCAGTTCTAGGACCAGTGCTATTTTTGATATATGTGAACGACATGATGGAAGGAATAGACTCTGAAGTGTCCCTGTTCGCAAACGACGTGAAGTTGATGAGAAGAATTAAATCGGACGAGGATGAGGCAGGACTGCAAAGAGACCTGGACAGGCTGGACATGTGGTCCAGTAACTGGCTTCTCGAATTCAATCCAGCCAAATGCAAAGTCATGAAGATTGGGGAGGGGCAAAGAAGACCGCAGACAGAGTATAGGCTAGGTGGACAAAGACTACAGACCTCACTCAGGGAGAAAGACCTTGGGGTGACCATAACACCGAGCACATCACCGGAGGCACACATCAACCAAATAACTGCTGCAGCATACGGGCGCCTGGCAAACCTGAGAATAGCGTTCCGATACCTTAATAAGGAATCGTTCAAGACACTGTACACTGTGTATGTTAGGCCCATACTGGAGTATGCAGCACCAGTCTGGAACCCACACCTGGTCAAGCACGTCAAGAAGTTAGAGAAAGTACAAAGGTTTGCAACAAGGCTAGTCCCAGAGCTCAAGGGAATGTCGTACGAGGAAAGGTTAAGGGAAATCGGACTGACGACACTGGAGGACAGAAGGGTCAGGGGAGACATGATAACGACATACAAGATACTGCGGGGAATATACAAGGTGGACAGAGATAGGATGTTCCAGAGAGGGGACACAGGGACA